AGATGAAGCAACAATCAGCTATCGGACAGCCAGAGACATTAAACAGTAACATGCAAGCTAACAATTCCAATGGGCTTTTATTGCTTTTTGTGGGTTTTTTTCAGCATTGATTTCCTTAATTAATTAGTATAATTTTCATAAAGTTTAACAGAGCAAGAGAACAACTCTTAATTAAGAGCTGGATCCTGTCAGGAGACCGGTGCAAGAAATACAAGAATTAAGGTATCAATATTACTCACCCAGTATGCACACGTCTCCTGAACCATGAGGGCTCTCCATAGCACCATAAAGCACATAGTCTTCAGTAACTCATGAAAACCTTTCTTTCAGAATGAAATTTGGAGAAGAATGAACAACAATACTGGAGAGGAGATCCAACACACAAACAACTCAATAAGCACTACTGTTCTCATTCTTGGGATTTTCTTCTGCTTTGTTGTCAACTAGTAATACAGATCTGTGTTTCAAAACACCACTTAACAGGAAAGAGAAGAGGGCAATAATAAGGGCAAGCTACTCATAAAAAAATTCTTTTAAAATATTACCATATCACCCCTCATAGGCAGATGCTCAATGCTTCATACATACACTGAGCTCTGCATTCCCCAAGTGAGCAGCCTCCACTCATTTCATCTAGGCCTCTGTCACCTTTCTATATCACAAATAACAAAGGATCGTGTCTAGTAGTCAAATTAAAAAAGTTGGATCACTGCTACCTACTTAAAACTGTTATCAGCTCTTGTGTGGTGGCAGAGTATCCTTGGACACATTTTGTTCTCAGTATTTTTTATTTCAATATTTTTTATGCAGTATCTTAAGGCATGAAGTTATTAAGAGGCAGAATTCACTACTTCAGGACTTTCAGCAACTGCTTGACAGTCTTCGTGAGTTTAAGAACAGCTGAAATTAAATGGATACAAGCGTTTTCAACTGTAAGGAATCATTACAAATTGCTTAAACTACTCAGGTATTTAGCCTTTCTATTCAATTTTTATGAGTTTCATGTATGACCAGAAAACAACACTATGGTTTCATCAAATGAGGATCAGCTGAAAGACAGAGGAAATACAGGATGTTTCTCCTCTTTCCTTTAAAGATTTTCTTTTGTTCTCATTCTTTTAAGTGTTCTATCTTAGTCTATCAGACACAAAAAGCAGAAAACTGGTATGGAGGTAATGCCCAGGTCATACATAAGCATTGCTGTAGTCTGCTGCAAAGTACAAAGTGAGTTGACATATCGGGTCTACATCAAAGATATACCCTGTGGCAGGTTGTAAAGACAGGTTGCAATTTTGCCCATAAAAATGTGTGTTCTACAAAATGGGTTCTGTAACATGAACTGTTAGTGGTATGCCACCATTCCACTGATCCTGCACATGCGTTCATTTCTCAGGAATGCTTGTAAGCTGGGCTATGCCCTGCCCTAAGATAAGCAGACTTGCATGAGGAAAAAAGCAGTGTGTCGCAGACAGAAAGATTCAACTCTCTGCAGGAGACTTCTTCCACAAAATGCAAGTTCCAATACAGGACATGCCAGTGGCTCCTGTTTTACTGCCTGTATCACATGCGTGGTATTTACAGCAAGAGCTGACTATAATGGGAGTCCTTTCCTCCCTACATTTTAAAAATTAAGGGAACAGCTTGAAAAAAAAAAATTGCATTGCAGGAACTTAAGTTTCCAAAGACCATTTAATTAAATACTAAAAAACACTCAACACACACTGACTGTCAGTTTGGAGCCTCACCACTTAGACTTACACATTACAATGTATTTTAAAACTGTCATGTAATACATTTTTCTAAAGTACTTCTGCTTCCTTCATTGTGAATGTGGGAAATGGAGAGCTGTGTAATGACTTCAGGCTCAAGTCCAGTTTTTGTACTCCTTTTTATCCATAACTATTGCATAGTGCATTATGAGTTTCAATATAGATTGAATATAGAGACATGACCATATCCATTTCTCTCATAATTACTGTGAGAGAAATAGTAATAGAGAGTGAATGAGGCGAAAGTGTAGCCACAGAAGGAAGATGATTTTATGACTATGAAACAGAACTACTACAGAGACGCTGTTGGTACCATAACTGCCTCTCCCACAGACTTCCTGCACAGCTTTGAGTAAGGTACTTAATCTTTCCTTGCCTCAGCTCCGCATGGGTAAAGCTGAGGTCAAAATACTTAACTTCATAGGCATGTTATAAGTATAGAAACATTTGCGTTTGGGAAGCTACTGGGTGTTGCTAATAATAGCTATTTATGTAAAATTGAAACATAAAAGAAAAATATATTTTAGCACTGAGTCTGAAAGGTGTACAGAAAATGAGGTATGGCACCTCACACCAAACAAAGAAAATAAAATGAAAAAATCAGCAGCTCCAGTGACTGAACTTAAAGTACTTGGGAAACTAGCATGCAAGTATGTCGTTTAAAGTCTAGATTGTAATATATGAACGTGCACAACAGAGTGAAAAAGCAATGCCAGCAGTATTACCTCTGTCCTTTCATACTTTTGAGCACATCATTTTGAAAACCCAATATTGTTGCAATGTAAGGGCTTTTGTAGAAAACTTAACACGTAAATATCCATACATTTGCTGTATGTATTAATTCAACCTCTTCTTCCTAAAAATAATTCAGCAGCATACAATTTTACAACATATTGATCTAGGTAACTCATGAGTCGATCTTTGTGAGTAGGTATCAATCACTTCATTGTTTACTTGTCGTTGGAAAGAAATTGATTTAATCAAACCTTGCAGTAATACATTATTGATGTATCCCAAGAAAACAAAGTCATAATGAATCATCAGGGTCCTAACATAAAACACTCTAAGGAGCGGCAATTTTGGCTTCAATCTTTCATTGTGATTTGCAAACATATGTCACTATACCAGTAAAGCCCGGTGCAAGACTGTAGTTGTTCTGAGCAGCGATATGTAACATTCACGTAACAGACTTGGGACAAGCTCTCCATAACTTGTCAAGCCCAGGAGGCTAGACAAAACCACACTATAGACCTTGTGTATCTCCACCACATTTACACAGCAGTGTAGCATTTTCACTTGATTTTAGCAAATCATGACCCTTCTGAGGGGAGCATGAGGTAATATGACATCATGAAAATAAGGGAGCCTCAGCCCTTCTCCTCAGCACTGGCTCAGCCTTTGTTCTCCAAAGGCTTTAAACTTTTCCATATATAAGATCACATGGGAATATCAATTTTACTCGATACACAATCAAAATCCTCTATGCACATTTGACAAACAAAATACAGCTTATAGTGGCAACTATAGCAGCAACTTGAAAGAGTAAAGTTAGAATAGCATTTGATGTATTTTATAGACTTTTAAATACATGTTGCCAGTTTAAATTATGGAGAAGCAAGTAGTCTAGGAACACCTACTGACAAAATTATTTTGGTGAGTGCTCTACTGTAGTTAAACTTCTGTTACAATAGTGAGAAATAAGAGAGGGCAGTAGCAACACTGTATCAGAACATCTTCACTAAAGCAACATTGTTACAAAATGTTGTAGGATGTACAATGAGCCATGTCAGAATTTAGCACCGACCAAGCATATGAGAATACCTCAGTACAGCTTACAGAGACATCTATAGGTAGTGTCTGTCTAATACCTTATAATTATTTATGTAGGAGAGGCAGGCTGAACTTCCTATGTAGCAATTCATACAAGGTGAAAACATTTTACAAGAAATGTGCTTCATAAATAAACAATTAATAGCAATACGATACCAATAACCATTACCAGGAACAGATGCACCATTAGCACACACGTGTTACTTAAGCAGTTCAGTCAGTATCGGAGATGGATAACAGATAAAGTTGGTGTAGATACAGAAAACAATATAACCAGCAGCCTGTCTTTCTAGCTTTGTCATCTTTCTACGCACAAAACTGAAGCTGAACCAGACTCAAGTTTGCAGAAGACACACATACAGACGTGTACAACCATACATGCTGTGTTGTGTATAACTATTTGTTGTAAAATTCCTAGAATGGAGAGAACCTGTACATACTCCAAACCTGAAAAACAACATAAACAATGTACTCTATTACACTTAGCAAACAATAATACAGAGTCATGAAAACAGATACAGTAGGGTAAGGGAGACAGTTTTTTAATGAAGTGGGAATGGACTAGGTCTCCAGAGTCACAGAGCCTTTCCAGAAGTGGGTTTGATTGCCCTGGATTTTCCCTGCCCAGTGGGGGAAGTAGAGAGGGTGAAGGGAAACCCCAGGACAGAGTTCTCTCCAACGTCCTCGCCCCTCACCCCAGTCCTCTCGTCCGGACTAAAGGGACGAAAAGGCAATTCCCGGATATTTCACTTTTCTCTAGAATTAAAAGGAGGGATTTTCTTGAGATAACCGATGCATGAACTTGCAGAGATAGAAACAATCCCTGGGTACTTACACACACACACACACACATGCAAAAGAAGAAAAGAATAGGCATTTCCTCACACATACACCGAGGAAGGGACGCAGCTATTTCTCCTCTCCAGGCGGGGACGGGAGGGGAGCAGCGGGCTGCCCGCACCGCCAGCCCGGGCTCACCCACGCTCGGAGCGGGCTGCCCCGGCACCGCCGGCGGGAGGCACGGCACCCCCACCCCCCCCCGTCCCCCCCGTCCCCGCCACCGGCTCCCCCCGCCCGCAGGCACGCCCGAGCTCCCCTCACGCTGGGGCACCCCGGCCTCTCCCCTTCCCTTCGCGCACTAACTCGGCACACACACGAGCTTGCTCACACCCGCTCGCGCGCGGGCACTCCCTCGCACACGCGCTCCTTCACGCTCCCTCACACACGCGCTCCCTCACGCTCACACTCCCACAAAGTCCCCTCACACACACTCTCCTCCCTCGCTCTCTCTCACACACACATACACACTCGTGTTCGCTCTCTCTCTTCTCCCCCCCCACCCCCACCCCCCCCCCCAGCCCCTCCTTCCCTCCCTCACACGCACGCTCGCCCCAACGGCCCCAACCGCCAGCAACAAAGCGGCGGGCAGCTCGCCGGGCTGGCGGCGGCGGCGGGACGCGCGCACACACGCACACACACACACGCGCGCGCGCACACACGCGCACACGACACACACACACACACACACACACACACACAATGCTGCCGCGGCACCTACCAGGCGGGCAGCCTCGGCCCAGGTGCGGTCCTTCTTCTTCCTCTTGTCTTTCATGTTTGCATCTCATTGAGGTGGTTCTGGGGGGGGGGGGGGGGGGGGGGGAAGGGGGAGGGTGGGGTGGGGAGGGGAGGGCGGACCGGGAGCGGGGGGGGGGGGCCCGGAGGGGTTCCGCACGGACAATGATACGGTGACACCGAGCTCTGGAGCCCCCGGGGCGGGAGGGGCGAGGGAGGAGGAGGAGAAGGAGGAGGAGGAGGAGGAGGGGAGAGGGGGCCGGGCCGGCTCGGCTCGGCTCCCCGCAGCGGCGGCAGCGGCGGCGGCACAGCTGACAGCTTGAGGGATGCTCCGCTACGCTCACAACAATGCTCTATGACGTCACGCGGGGGAATGGCGCCCGCACCAAACATCCCCACGGCGGCCGCCCTCGCGAGGAGGCCGCCCGAGAGCGCTCCCGCCCCCAAGCCTCGCGAGAGCCGCCGCGGCGCCGCTCTCCCCCTCCCCGGGGCCGGGGGCGGCGGGGGCGGGGGAGGGCGCCGCCCGCCCGCCTGCCCGGCGCGGCTGGACTACAACTCCCGTGGTGCAGCGCGGCGGGCGGGGCGTGTCCCCGGGGACGCGGCACTGAGGGCGCTGCCGGGGCGGCGGGGCCGGTGTTTGCAGTTGGCGCCGCGGTTGCGGTTGGGGCCCCTTCCCGCCCCTCACGCTACAAAGCGCGTTCGGTCAACCCAGCCGAAAAGCAGGGCCCGGCCCTTTCCCCCGGCGGGCGACCTCCGCGCTGGCGCTTACTTACGGCTGGGGCGGCCCGCGGCCTGGGCGGGACCGGGCCGGCGGAGCGTCGCGGGGCGCCTGTCGCCGCGGCGGGTCCCGCCTGTGCCCTCCGCGCTTCGTTTCGGCCCGCGTGCTGAAATCTGGCGAACTCAACCCTGGCCAGAGAGGTGCCAGATCGCAGAGATCCCGCGGCAGCGTTTTAACTCCTTTTCTTGTCGGAACAGGAAAGAACATCTTCTTGTTCCAGTGTAAACAAAGGAGTTAATGTGCTGCGCTCGTAAAACTGCCGAAGGATGTTTTCTGTTATTGGATGACCTAGGAATAAGATACCCACGAAATGCGAAGCGAAGGATTTAGCACACCTCCCTGAGCTGCAGGATATTGCGATGTGGGTTTTCTCCCCTGTTTCCTCCTCCAGATATTAAAAGTATATTTGGAAGACTATTGAAATATATTTGGCATTTGTTGTTCAGACTGAAATGAGTTAGAAATTCAGGCTTTTGTGTCTCCATCTGTTCAGTCTCTGCCTTCCTTCGTCCTTCTCCCAGCAACACCCCTGTTCTGCCCTGCCTTCTTGCCTTTGGTAACACTAAACCTTATTTTCCCACAAATGTACAGTTTACTGGGGGAGGGTGGGGAAATAAATCACTCCTAGTTACCACAGTGCTCAGGCTGTTTTATCTGGAAAAGGACTGGGCCAGCCCTGGAGGAAGCAGAAGTAGCGGCCTGATAGCATTCCCAAAACGCGCTCATTGAGCGCTCAGATGGTGTACGGTGTTCCAGCTGCAGACACATCCTGCTCTTGCGCCTCACCTGGATGTTCTAACTGGAAATGGTACATGGAAGATAGTTCTCCACCAAGACACCTTTCCAGATTTCATAATTCATTCCCACTTAAATGAAAAGAAAAACATCAATGAAGCAAAATTATATTAAAGCAGCTGCTTCTAAATTTACTTTTGATTCCAGACTGTATAGTATCGATCAGAGGATTTGCATATGCCACAGAAATGTTCTTGAGAAAAATGTTGTAGAAACTGAAATGTTTCTGTTTGACAGGTTGTGTAAAAATTTTTACAATCAGCCAATTGTCAAAATGGCTACATGTTCCTTTGTTATTCACTGAATACCTTCTTTGTCACTTTAGTTACATTAAGAAAGGAAATGCTTGCTATTAGTATCACTTATGTGTCTATATGTTTTGTTTCTTTGACTTGTGTTTTCTGCCTTTTATGTCTATGTCCTCCTTCCTTTTTCTTCTTTTGGCATTTCCTTGCCTTTAATAACTTTCTACGCCATATAGGCTTCATTCACATCTCATACCCCATGCTAAAAGCCTAAACCTGTAGTAACTAAGTACCTCATTAAAACTGCCTTTGAAACACCCTCACTGTTTTCAGTATTGAAACTACAGCAAAACAAAAAAATATAGGCAGGTTTGTCAGTCACTCCCATCATACAGTGGCTGTTTTAAGACTGAAAGAAATGTTCTGCATTAGTTCCCCATTTGTCCACACGTAGATGATGATCCAGTTGTTGATCCAGTTGCTTCACATACATAACATGAACTGAACTTCCATTACTCAGGAGAGCTCTGGTTTTGCAGTGTTGGTGTGGGACAGAGAAGGACATTCGTCAGGTAAAAGAAATTCAGGGAACCTCTAAAGCTAATCTGACTTTGTAGATTTTTTGGTTTGGTTCGTTTCTACTATTGCCTGTTGCAGTCAGAACCAGACTTTTATTTGGTATTTCTATGGACACCTGGAATAATCTTTTTAGTATTACATCCTTTCTATTCAGCTGGTGAAGAAATGAGTGTCTGTGCTGTCATTTAATTCATTTGCATCATTCCTCAAAAGTCCAGGTGCTCCTAAGTTCCTTCTGTTGTTCACATGCAAATGGTTGGAAATCACATGCTTACAGTTAGTGGCACTCGCTTTGCTGGAGAAAAAAAAACAATTCTGCTTTTTGCTGTATCAGAGCAGAGAGCAAGCGTGCATTCTCCATGCTTTTGTGATGAAAAAAAAAAAAAAAAATCTTTGCTCCTGAAATGAAATGCATTTTTTTCTGCAATAAATGTTGTAGCTGAATTCAATAAAGATTTCCGGCATACACAGAAAACAAAATGACTCAACAGAACAGTACACTGCTGCTTTAAGAGAGTTAAAAACCATGGGTAAGCCTAGAAGCACAGCAGAAAAAGGTCAAGTTCAGCTTATGGAAGAAAGCATTTCCTATTGATTATAGATAGTATTTACTGCATAGATTGGACCTGACACTACAAGAGATTGTAACCGTTGCTTCTCTAACTGAATTGGCAATAGGAAAATTGAGAAATGGTGAACTGCGTTCAAACTGCAGCCACTGGAACTATGGCTGAAAGCTCAGCATAGGTAACGTATATGTGTGTATGTATATGTGTATGTGTGTAAATATACTACTGCTGTCTCCACGGCACATTGCAAACCAGACTGGATAACCTGTAGATACTGCGGAAAGATGTTACATTAAAATGTATTATTAATTTCTACCTAAGCAATATTTATGTGACATTACAGTGCCAGATGTTACTGTTTTGATCATGGATGGAAGCAGTTATTTATTATGGATGTGTCCAGTTACTTTTTCTTGCATCAGAAGAACAGTCATATGCTACTAAAATAACATTGGACACTGGTTTCTTGGCTTCAGTATTCAGTGAATGCATTCACCTGCAATGCTGTAGAAGTTTGACACTTGATGTTATCTAGTAAGCTACCTGAAGAACATTGTTCTTGTTGTCTCCTGCATAGAAAAATGACTTGATACGTACTGCTAAATTTTTTATTGTGTACAGTAATCCTGTTAAGCAGAAATCTGTGGACTGCACTACATATGCAAGAATATATATATATATATATGCATTGCTTCAATACAGCAAAACACTCCTGCAAAGCAAATTCCAGTTTCAGCTCTTACAAAAGAAATAGTATCAGATAGTACATGGAAATGCCATATGTGTGCAGAAGGATTTATTCACAGCATGACAACTCAATCTAATGTGCCACTTTTACAATGGAAATTATATTCACTACAACTGAAGAAGAGATGCTGAGTTACAAGATAATTAAAAAAATAGCCCAGAATGATACTAATGGAGACACTGCATTTTCTGAATTAGTTTCAGCACAGTGGTGATGAAAAGCAAACCAGAATACTTGTTTTTGTGTGGACTTAGGGAAGCCAGACAAAGCCATTGTGACAGACAGTTAACCATTTACAGATACTGATGTCACAGTTGCAGAGTATGTTTTCTACTCTTGATTTAAAGAATGCATATAGCCAAGTATCCAGACAGCTTGAGTTTCACAGCATTTATTACACTTAATGGAACTTTTCTCTTTTAGTCATACGCCATATGGACCTGAATCAAAACCCAGAGCTCTTCAAATATGTTAATAATTCCTAATAACAAGCCTGGAATCTAGTACTCTCTGGATGATGTTACTGTATTTGGAAAGACTCCTGAAGCTGAAGGAAAAAAAAAAAACCCTACAGGCTGTACTTTAACATGTCAATACAGGAGGGCTGAAGCTGAATTTTGGTAAATACTGAATCAGATGCACAGAGCAGTCTTTTCTTGAGCATGTCATTTCTCCACTGGGATTGGAAAAAGTCATAGAACATGTAAAAGAGCTCACCCTTCCTAGAAAAAAAATAAAAATCATTACAACCATATTTTTCAGGTCTCAAATCAAGGTGTACATAATCTATTCCTAACTCTGCAATGCTGCAGAACTACTGAGAATAGTACATTGTAAAATCTAGAATTTACTCGGGACATTTCTCACCGTAGCAGATTTTCAAACAATGAAGGCTCTGACTGTGAATAGCCAGGGTTTATACTGTTGGCTTCAGCGTTCACCACAATTGTCATTACTTTTGTTTCTGACCAGAACTGGCCAAATGCTATAAAGACAGGGCTATTTCCTTTACTCCCTCCTAGCCCTCCAGCAGCCAAATAAACACTCAGGTCTTTTTTATGGCATTGCAGCCGATCTAAGCAACCTGACTGCAGCTAACCTGAGGTCCACTTTGCCCCCCCAACAGATGAGCACTGGTACCCCCGGTGTGTAGACCTTACCAAGCTGCCATCTTCCAGATAAACTACCTCCAGGCAGCCCTTCCTTGGCCACGCTGGCCACTACTTTTTCATGCTAAGAATATGGAACTGCTTTTCCCCAGATCCATGTGTACAGTTTCTACGAGAAGACCATTGTGTTTGAACCATGAAGAGTTTACAAGATACCGTAAAAGTGTTGGAAAGAAAACGTTTCTTTGTGCATATACTACAGGAGAGTAGGGAACCTGCCTCTGAGGCATTACACTCCAACTGCATACAGATCACACCTCTTGGCAGTTCTGTTAACAACAGAAAGACTCAGAAGAGCAGGAACAGTCTGCAGATGGCTAGCAAGATTACTTTAATTTTTATATGACACAGCAGCTGATAGTTTATCTCATCTGCTCTTTTTTAGATGCTTATCTAGTTGATTATATAGAAGTTGCTGCATGGATTATAGATATGTTTGCTGCAATTACAGGAAAAAAATGTAAAGCTGTTTGCTTGTAGTGTCTGATTGAACAGAAATTACATATCTTCCTGTCTAGAATGTGATTCAGGAATTCCAAATGCATGGATGCTCTTCTAATACTGTGTTTTAGCCTACAGAATGAACTTTAGCCACAAGATAGATATGTAATGAAATGTCACAAGTTATATGGAATTTTAAGGAATTGCGAATGTGTCCCAGAGAAATTACAAGCAAAATTTATACATCATGCTCATGGTAAGTCTCAAGGTTGTCACAACAAACCAACAATTACAGGACAAGTACTGGTGGCCAGAACTTGATATGAATGACTGAAATTTAATACTAAAATCACTTACAAAAATTAAGACAAGTGACTCATGCAGTACTGTTACAGCCTACCCCTTATGTTTTTTTCTTTGTGAATGACTGACATCACAGCCTCTTTTAGCAGTTACTCTATCTATCCAGCTATCTTTCTGTGATAGATGACATCATAAAATGACCAAACACAGCATTTATATTGTGTGACATCTGCTGCTATAATCACTTGCTTGTCTGTTTTCAGCCAAGAACAAAAGCTGTAAGAATTAGCACCATTTAACTTCTTACAATTTGTATTTTTTTTCTGGGAATATATATAAAAGTTCATCATCAAGTTACCTTAAAGCTGATTAAGAACTAGAATGTTAAGGAGAATTTTGAAAGAGAGTTCACAGCTAACCTGGAAAATAATGCTTGTGAGGCCTTCTCAATGGACTAACTACAAATTTAAGGAGTAACATAGCATGTAGTCACATAAATAATTTCCTAAACTAATGCCTGGAGAGCTACACACATGGAGTTAATGTTGAGGATCTCTAAACCTGCCGTAGTAGCACAGTCAGGTACAAAACACACAGTCCAACTGCATGAAAAGTAATGAAGATCATTGTTGTACTACAGATCTGCAATTCAAATTTGGCTTTGTAAGTGCAAAACTCTGGAATTCTCTGAAAAGGGGAGTCAGAGTTTATTTTGTCTCTCAAGCTAGTTGGGGGAAGAGGACTATATGCATATAGGCTATCTTTGTGATAAGTACACACCTGTTTG